AGATCCTCAGCCTCCGCCTGGTGCCCCGGGTGGGCAACGGCACCAGCACCTACTCCAGCCCGCTGTCCACCTTCCCAGGTACTCTCCCCACTGCGGGGCCTGTTCGGAGCGGGGCCCTCAGGCCCGCGGGCCCCGAGCCTGCCTCACGGCCCTTCTCTCCACAGAGATGTGGTATGGCGTCTTCCTGTGGGCCCTGGTCTCCTCCCTCTCCTTCCACGTCCCGGCCGCTTTGCTAGCGCTCTTCACGCTCCGGCATCACAAGTACGGCAGGTTCATGTCCGTGAGCCTTCTGCTGATGGGCATCGTGGGACCCATTACCGCCGGCATCCTGACAAGTACGGTAGATGCTCAAAAATAGCGACCGGGTGGCTCTGTAGCGATCAGAGGTTGCCTTTGGGGGCGTGGTGAACCTCGACATTCCCCGGGGTAGAGAGGATATGAATGTTTTGGTTATGTTCCCCCCTCGCCCCATGTTTGAAAGAGTTCATAGAATAGGATCGTAGAATCGTCTAGGTTGGAAAGGACCTTTAAAATCATCGAGTCCAACCAGAAACCTAATACTGCCAACCCCACCACTAAACCGTGTCCTTCAGCACCACGTCTGCCTGTCTGTTAAATACCTCCAGGGATGGGGACTCCACCACTTCCCTGGGCAGCCTGTGCCAATGTTTAATAATGCTTTTGGTGAAGAAATTTTTCCTAGTATCCAATCTAAACCCCCAACCTAGACAATTCTATGATTTCCTCTTGTCCTATCGGCTGTTATTTGGGAGATCTACCCCCACCTCACTACAACCTCCTGTCAGGTAGTTGTAGAGGGCAATAAGGTCTCCCCTCAGCCTCCTTTTCTCCAGGCTGAACACCCCCAGTTCCCTCAGCCGCTCACCAGACGTGTGCTCCCTTGCCCTTCTCTGGACACGCTGCAGCACCTCAATGTCTTTCTTGTAGTGAGGGGCCCAAAACCAAACACAAAGAGGTGGAGCATCCCACCTATCGAGCCCTTTGTCAGGGATGCCAAACATGCCCGTCAGGCGCAGAGCCAGGTGGGCTTTCAGGTTTCTGAGCACTGGGAGAAAAACCACTTACAGGTTTCGTGTCTGTGCCCAGAACTGCGTGATACTTGCTACAGACAATCTTGTGATGAGATTATGTGCAAAACCGCCCCAACCTCCACACCTTCTGGAGGCCTCAGCAGTTTCCCGACTAGTTTACCCATTGCCACCAGCATGTGTTGGTTACCAGCTGAGGTTTGTCACGGTAAACCCAGTCTGGCATATCTGCCAGCTGGTGCACAGGGGTTTGGGGCCCTCTCCCACAGAGCCCCCCTGTTCTCTGCCTCAGTCTCACATCCTCTGAGACTTGCCCCTTCATCCCCATGGTACAACAGCGTATGTCTCTCATGCGCTGTCATGCATTCATGTTTTGGCTTTTCCCCCTCTCCGTAGGTGCTGCCATAGCTGGAGTTTACAGAGCTGCGGGGAAAAAAATGATTCCCTTTGAAGCCCTCATTTTAGGAGTGGGCCAGACATTCTGCGTGGTGGTGGTTTCGTTTCTGCGCATTTTGGCCACTCTCTAGCTCTTCCTCAGACGCTAGAGATCACAAATCGAAGGAAGAGCAAAGGATCTGCCGCCTCTGAAGCAAACGATGAGGGAGCGCAACGTGAGGCATACCTCGGCGTGTGATTCTCCACTGGTTAAAGGATATGTGAAGGCCTGCTCCTACCTCCAGTGTGGCTTGAAATTAAGCTAAAAATTGTGAATTTTGTTACTTTTTGGTAACATTAAGTGCCAAGTGAAACTTTATTTCTCTGCAGAATAGGCTTCTGGAGGAGGAGGCCTGTGTACCTTTTACCAGTGATGAATTGTAGCAACAGGACCTAACTCTGATGTGACACTGACTGTTCTGGGGTAGAAACAGTACTACAGATTGATACAATGTCTTCGGAGCTCACTTAATGCTTTGACCTCTTGCTGCTTTGTTTGCAGTGAACCTGAAGCTCTTTTAATGTGAATTTTTTAAATGAGCAAATTGATTTGTTTTCTTCCTGGCCCCAACTTCCTAATACCAGGTCTTGGTTATAGTGAATTTGGGACCAGCAAAAGGAAAAATCATTTTAGACAGATGAAAAGTGCAAATTTGTGGCCGAGAGCTGTGACTATGAATGCTGTGGCAGCGGAAATAGCCAGTGTACAAAGAATCGCTGGTTTTGTGAATTTTATAATGGTGAAGCTCTTCTGGCACTGTGTACCTTCTGCCCGAGAGGCGAAACACAGCTGAACGGGCGCTACGCCCCGCTGCCCACCCTAGAAGTCCCAGGGCGCCTGCGTGACCGTGTGCCGTTGCTTCTCAGGCTCTGGAGGAGACTCGTATTTTTAAACTTCTCTGTTTTCCTTTTACTTGCTGATCATGTTTACATTGGTGAGGCGGAATTAGGTGTCTTCACCAATATTTAAACGTCGCTGGCCAGCTTATATAAAATTCAGCACACTGCTGCTCTGGTGATTGTGCTGGTGAGAATGGCACAGTCGGTGCTGGTTTGTGGTGACTGGGGCTTCCCAGCTGCGGGGGTGGGGAGTGCGCTGTGTTTTTGGCATCCCACCTGCAGTATGCCAGTTGGGGGGATGCCTGTGAGGGTCCTGGGTGATTCCCATGTCCATCAGGAACACGCTGTGTGAACGCAGCCCCAAACCAGCCCTTACCAGCAGGCAGTGGGGTCTCTCCTAATGAATTGTTTTAGTTTGTTTGATTTTAAGTGACTTTTAACTAACCCTTAGATCTGCCCTTTATGCCTGGAGGCATGCCACACGGCCGAGGCTCTCGGGTAGCGAGCTGGGCGATTTCTGGGGGTTTGATCTTTTGGAGCCCTTGAGGAAGGTGAGGTTGAACCCCGAGGATGTGGCTGCGTGCTGTAGCCAGCCCCGTGGCTTTGCTGTGGTCCTTGTTTGTTTGTTGCCAGCTGACAGTCGTGCAGGCTGCCGAGGGAAGGCGCCGTCTGTTGTCCAGCCTCCCAGGACACAATTCTCATCTGTGTTTTTGCTGAACTCCTCTGGGTTCCAAACCAGGTCGCCTTTTGTACCTGCAACATTTTGTAAGGCCAGTTATCTTCCATGAACCCCATCTCCTCTGTGCTGAAACAAACCTCAACAGGGCCATGTGTTTATCATGAAAAAGAATTTCTCTTTTATGTACTAACTTATCCGGAGCAGTGTGTTGACAGCTGATGGAGAGAGGTGTTTATCAGGAACTACTTACTGAGATTACTCTAAATTTTAGCCCGTGTTAATTCAGGGAATAAAACTCTGCATTTTAGGAAAGACTTTAACGTGAATCCTTCTCCTTAGGTGGGTGAGGTCCAAGCGGTGTAACGTATACTAAACCCTGGATCTTTGGAGTTCCCCGTGTGCTGTGCTGCTTGTAGAGAGCTGGTCTTCCTACTGCCACATCCCCCGGGGGACGGTTTGGCCTTTCCTTCCCTCTTTTCTTCTGCCCCCAGTGAAAAAGCAGGAATAATGATGTGTCTAGATGTCTTTTCCTCCTTCCCACTTCTTATTTCAAGTGGCTGCATACACAGTGCGTGTCCGGAGTGCCTGGTTTAATTCACATGAATTATCCTGTGTTTTCCTGGATGGATTAAAAGTCCCTCATGGGACTTAGACTGGGCAGGTCTGGCCTTACCTTTCGGGTAACGCTAGAAACCAGTGTCCTGGGCACCCGCTGTGCTCCCCTTTCCCCCTGCCCCAGTGCCTGGCATCCCTCAGTACCGAGGAGTAAGCTGATTTCAACTGGGAAAGCTCAGTGTGCTATGGCATGAATATGGTTCCTCTGCAGTAATGGGGCTGAGGCATGCAGGGGACAAATCTGGGCTGGTAAGAGCTCAAAAGAAATGAAAAAAAAAAAAAAAAAAAAAAAAAAAAAAAATAATAATCACTTGATGGAATCACTCGGTGCTGAGCAAACTGAAAAATTCCTGATTTTTACCCATTCTGATCTCCCAAAGTCTGTTTTGAAGGGGTTGCTGCTTCACTTGAAGAGTTGGCAGCTTGGCCAGTGTTTGGCAGTTGAGTGGTTGGAGCCGGTGGTGCATCTCTGTGCCCAGGCGCTGGGAAATTTTCAGGGAATTCTTGCATAAAAGGTGAAGAGTCAGCTGCTGACTTGTCTTGACAGCTATTAGTGCTGGGAGAGAGTTCTTTGTGTCGCCTCAGTACCTGCAGAGCATCCTCTGCTCCCCTGGCTGCCTTCCTGGCCTCCCTCTCTGGTAAAACCAGATCCAAACTGGGAAGGAGGAATAATTTTGAGCCGACACACCGAATCAGTCAATGCTGGTAGTTTCCTCCCCTCTCATCATATCGGTTTGGTCTTCCCTTTGTGTTCCTTTTCCTGAGTGAGGCGAGCGGAGGAATTCCTTCAGTTTTCATCAGGAGTCAGTAGACTTCGCTCAGTCAAACTTGCCAAAAGCTGCAAAAAGCTTGCAAAAATGTCAATGCCGAGGTGTCCCGGGCTGGGCAGTGCTGTGAAGCTGTGGCCAGGGAGCCCGGCCAGGAGCGTCGGTCAAGGAAACACCTTGCAGAGAAGCCACCTGCCCTGGGGAAACGTCACTGCTCGAGCTGAGAACTCGTGGCCCTGCTTTCTGTGTGTGAACATCCTCTGTGCTGGGCTGATTTAGATCCTGCCCGACTTCCTATCTCGCTAAAGACTGCAGCTGTCGTGAACAAATCTTTGTATGATAGAAAACTCTGTAAATTTTATTTTTTTACTGACACTTCTAATCCTGGTGGTGATTTATCAGTAAATTCTGTAAAGATCGAGGTGAATGGAGTTGTGTGTTTCTCCTGCAGGGCAACAAGGGGGCCTGGGCTGTGCTTTTGGAAGTGAGCCTTGGTTTCTCCCACCCAGGGCTATCTGTACCGGGAAATGTCCTGGTTCTGGTGATTAATTATGTCTCCATCAAGGGCTGGATGTGCGCCTGCAGCCAGGCACCGCAGCCCGAGGCGACATCTTGCTGCTGCTCGGCTGTTGGGGATGGGCTCAGCCTTTTTCCATGGCCGGGAGTCCCCGTCCCCGAGTGGACGTGCAGGGTCCCCGCAGACCCTGGGCTCGGTGCTGACCCGCTCCCGTCCCCCCTGGGGTGGTTCGCACCGTGGGACAGTGGCTGTGCTGAGGCTGTGGGTCAGTCCCTGCGTATCGCTCGGGCTCTCCTGGGGGAGCAGGCGTGGGGGTCCCACTGTCCCCTTGCTGCTCTCTGGATGGGACCCCACACCTCACCTGCATGGCTCCGGCTAAACCCAGGGCCGGAGCAGTGCCTGCGCTCCAGGACCTGCCACCATACATCCTACAAAGACCGAGATCGGCAAAACAAGTCTTTGTAAGAGGGTGGCGGCTGCGCACAGTGGGCATTTCCCAAGAGCTGGTGCCCAACACGCCTTCGCTGCTCCCCCAGACCCCCGGGGCGAGTGCGCTCTGAGGTCAGAACCGGCCTGAAAAATTCACATCCCGAGTCGGCAGGGATCCAGGAGGTTTTATTGGCAGTAAAAGGTCAGCACGTTCTCTTGGTTTCCGCGGGTGAGGATGACGGGGGGTCTCAGGTCCTGCGAGAGGGTCTCCAGCCAGGCCATGTAGAGGGAGCTGGGGCACCGACCCTTCCTGCCGATGGGTAGCGTGCTGCGGCGGCAGCGAGGGGCCGGGTGAGCACGGCGGAGCGCAGCCCCCTCCGGCCGCCCTGCCAAGCTGAGCTCCGTCCTTAGACCCTCTCTCAATTCCATACTAATTTGTCGGTTATTTCCCTAAAAAGGAGCAACGCCACATCCTCCCACCTCTAATAGGACCCAGGCTGGACCCCTTGGTGCCCTCCAAGGGCTTTTCCCCGTGGTGCTGCACCATCCCACCGTGGTGTTGGGGTGTCTCTCCGGGGATCTCCCCGCACGGGATGGGGGAGAACATCCAGAGGGACCATTTCCATGGGGCAAGGAACAGGCACGAGGGCGCCGCTGGCACCTACATGGCTATGAGCGCCGCGTCCCGCGAGTAATCCAGCAAGATCTCGTTCAGCCTCACTTGTCGGAGCGACTGCAGAGCAAAGAGAGTTGACACGCGAAATAATTGTTTCCAAACCCACTGAATTTTGTCCCAAAAGCAGGAAACCCTTTGCAGGAGCTACCTCCACCCCAGCACCGGCGCTACCTTGGCTCTGTTTTTATTGACCTCCTCGTCAGAAATCTTCCAGGGACAGCCCTGCCTCATCTCGTTCACCGTGGCCTCGTCTTTGAAGCCGTCGTTCAGCCTGAAGGGAGCGATCAGTTCGTCGAACCTCCTGATGCTGCAAGACAAGCAGACGGTGCCGGGAAAGGGGGTCCGGGTGGGTTTGGGGGTGCTGAGGGCAGGGGAGAAGGAGAGGGGGACGGTTACTGCTCCGGCCGGGGTTTCTGGTTGATGTCGGGAAGGATGTGGACCTCGTGGAAGCCGAGGCGGAACTTGCTCAGCAGAGAGACGATCCTACCGGAGGGAAAAAAGACACATTTTTCCAAAAATTAGCTGGGCACGGTGGCTCCGGCAGGGACCGGTGCCGGCTGAACCCCCTG